CCAGACCACCCAGGCCCTCGGCACAGGACCCTCAGTAACCTATCTCTGCCTATCCTGTTACCCCCCCTTGACTGTGACTGACACCACCAACCCATCACATTCTTCACACGGAGCCCACCAAAATCTGTCTCAAGACGACACTCCCTTGGGTTTGCGCTGAGACCAGATCTGTGTCAGTTCTGGGTAACCATGCTGCAGTGGTACAAATGAACATTTCAGACCCCAAAGCCGGTGATGTGCACCCCCCGGAGGAGGTGGCAGGAGGTGGGGACCCAAGTGCAAAGGGCAGGTATGGGGAGGAGCTGAGGAGCCAAATCGGCCAGGGAGGTGGGGAGAGAGAGAACCGCCGGCAGCTCTGTGACTCCCTCACCCTCAGCTCTCCGAAGAGGATGGGCAGGGTGGCAAGGAGTGGGGCCCGCTCCAGGGCTGGCCAGCGGCATGCAGCCTGGTCCCCACTGGCCCGAGCAGGCCCTGGGTCTTCGTAGCTGGCCGCTGGCTGGGGGACAGGTAGAGAGGGCAAGCAGGGGCCTTCCCTGCAGGCTGGAATCTGCTGCCTGCTGCGCGGAGCCCGCCCACTGCCCAGCAGCCCCTTCCCGCCCCAGCAGAGTGCTGCACCGCCATGCCTGCGTTATGGCCTCTGCCAAATGAAGCACAAACTTAACTACATCACCCCCCCAGCATGACAGGGAGGCGGCTGGCAGTGGCACCCTGGGCTGCTTCAGTCCCCGAATCTAATCACTGGACTGGGTCATTTCAATTACGGACACCAGAGTGTGGTGGGGGTGTGGCTGCTCGTAAAGGCCTCCATGCTGCTGCTCAGCTAATTATGAAGCTCTTACTGTCGCGGCAGGTGAATGACTCAGAGCGGAGAGGTTCTGGCTGCCGAGATGGAGCGTGAGCCACGCAGGAGGGCGGAGGGGCACCTGGGATGGGTCCAAGGGCACAGGTGGGGTCGCAGGGAGGGACGCACAGCCTCCCAGGAGGGATCAGAGAACTGGGGCCTCTGCCCTGGGTGGCCATCCAGTACTGGGACTCGGTGGAGGAGCCTGTTACCTCAAACCCCAAGATTGCAGTTCTCTAGAAACCTTTGAGCCACAGAGTAGGATACAAATGTAAGCTCCATGCCCTTCTACTGACCTTGTGAGTGGGCCTGGGGCTTCCCGAGGCTGCCCTGAGAGGCTGGTTCTCTCCGGGGGGAGCCTCAGGCTGGCAGCCCGCTCAGCAGCTCTCTGGCTCGCTTCTGGTCTGACCCGTCGTCGGGCCACAGAAGACCGGCTGGGTCACAGAGCGCAGGAGGTGGGGTCTCGGCTTCCCTAAGTGCAACCAGACAGGAGACAGGGGTGTCCTAGGAGAAGATGCCCACCCCCTAACTGGGGGCTACACGAAAGGCACGCAGGCTTTGGGAGATTGTGGTCACAGCCCTGAGATACCAGGATGAGGGGGGCTCCCTGGCCAGCTGGGGGCTGCGCCTAATAACGCCTTATTCTAGGCGTCAGAGAGGCCCCCAGAACTGGAGCTGTGATTTCCCAGCGAGTGCAGAGACTACCTGGGTTGTGGGAAACAGCAGATGGCGGGGCACTCGCAGCTGGGAAAATCCCGTTTCTGCTCTGTCCCTCAGTCTCCTCCCTCTAAGAAACAAGAATCACCATTTGGAGGGGCACCAACATTTGGAGGGGCTGAGCTAAAGCTGCTCTGTACATAAGGGCTGCTGGCGCCCCACCTTCCTCCCCTGCAGCGGATGAGGTCTCCAGGGCGCGGCACTGCTCCAGAGGGCAGACCTCACCCTGGGACTTAGCAAGGGCCCTGGTGGCCACGCTGAGGTCAGGGCCACTTGGCACTTGGGCAGGGGAGGTCTGCACTGGCACCCAGCATGGCGTTCAGGGTGCACTCTGGAAGGGCTGCTTTGTGGAGGCTGACATAGACAACTTGGAGACGTTCTCTAGGGAGGAAACGAAGGGGTGCCGGGTGGGAAGCTGGATGGGAAGTCGTTCGGCAGCACCCTCCCCGGCCCGCCACCCAGGTCCCCTATGGCACGGGAAGTGATGGTTTCAGCCCTTGGCCTTTGGGTCCTGGAATAAAGGCACCTCGGGTGACAGAGGTAGCTGGAAGGGTCCCACACCACAGACGCAAGACTGGAATCCATCTGCTGGAAGCAGGCAGGTCTTATTTTTATTTTGTCACGTATGATTTGCTTTTCAAAGTGCTGTTGAGTACACTGCTGCATTCTGACCCAAAGCGCTATGGGTAGAGCAAGTGCGAGGAGCCCCTATGTCAAATAGGGTAAACTGGAGCTCTGAGAAGTCAGTCAAGGCCACCTGGCCAGGTAGAGAGGAAGCCAGGACCAACACCAGGTGCTTTCTCCAAGACCCAGGTACAAAGGAGATTTTCTAGTGGGGTTCACTGCAGACCTGTTTGCCCTCTGATAACTGAGGAAGTGAAGAGTGATTTAGGAATCAGTTGAGAGGCAACCGAGTAGGTCGGGCAGGGGAGGCCGCCAGCAAAAAGCAGGAAGTGAGGAGGGAAGTAGGTGGAGGTCTGCACGCACCCTTCCTATCCACAAACTTCTTATGCTCCTCATTTCATTAACAGCAGCAGAGGAATTTCATGGACGATTGGCATTGAGCACTAACTGGGAGGTAATGAGAGGGGGAGGATGCAGGTAAAGGCTGTTTGAATTTAAATTCCTTTTCTTTAGGGGGTGGGGGGCAGATTTTTTGAAAGGCAGTTTTAGTGCTGAGAACAGTTCCTAGCGAGCAGCCCTGGGCTTTTGTGCCCTCTGCCAGCAGTGTCGGGGTGAAGACTATCCCTCAGCACAGTGTGACCTCCGACGGCTGCCCCCACTGAGGATGGAGGGATGCCGTGAGGCTGGAAGCCTGACCTTGGGTAGATTCTGTCCCTCAGACCGGGGCAAACACCCTAGAAACGTGTCCAGCTTCAGGGGTGAGCTAGGGTGAGTGGCTGTGCACTTAGTCACTGCAGAATCTTCATGAGCACTACTGTGGGCACCTGAACAGAGAGGGGAGAAGCTGGTGGAGGAGAGGGCTGCTGCTCTGGGAACGTGAGCTGGCCGGCAGGCGATGTGCACATGGGCTCACTTGCAGGGCCACGGAATGTTCCGGAGAGAGGGATGCCGGGAGATGAGGACTAAAGTGAGGGGGACGGAGTCACGGGCGGACCAGGTCGGGCTGGGGCGGGGGGAGAGGGCCAGTCTGAGCAGAGTCCTCAGTGACACAGATCGGTGCAACTAACGAATGTACCGACCAGCAAGAGATGTTTGGGTGGAAATGACCTCCCTCCTGAGGAGGACGGCAGGGAGGTCGACTCGGCTACACGGAAGCCTCTGTGATACGAAGCGGTGGGAAACGAAGCAAGTGGACATGAGGGGAGGCAGATTTTGCGGAAGGCTTGAATTCTGATCTTGGGATTCAGGTGATAAGGCCACAGGAACAGCCATAAAAGGCTAATCAATACAGATTTGGCTCCTGGAGAGTAAGAGCCGGAAGTCGATCTGTTACCAGGTGCCAGATGACCCGGGTCCGTCTGCCTGGAGGAGTACCTGTGGGCATAGATGGGAAGCCAAGGGGCCACTGGACTGGATGCCTGGTTCTGTGTCACCTTGACTAGGTCATGGTACCAAGATATTTGGTTAAACATTATTCTAGGTGTTTCTGTGAAGGTATTTTTAGATGATATTAACATTTAAATTAGTAGATTTGGATGAAACAGATCACTCTCCAAATGTTAGTGGGGTTCCCTAAGAATAGGTGGGCTCTTCCATCAGAGGCACCTCCCTTTGGACTCAAACTGCACGTATCTCCTGGGCCCCAAGCCTGCCAGCCTACCCTGCAGATTTTGGACTAGCCAAGATCCCACAGTCACGTGAGTGCTATGGGCTGAACCGTGAACCTACCCGGATTCTTTTGTTGAAATCCTAACTCTCAGTATTTTAGAATTGACACCATCTGGAGATTGGGCCTTTGAAGAGATAATTCAGATTAAATGAGGTTAGTAGAGGGGGTCCTAATCCAGTATCACTGGTTTCTTTATAAGAAGAGGAACAGTGGACAGATCTGGGCACGCACGGAAGAGGGACTGTGTGAGGACACAGGGCAGAGGCCCGTGGACACGGCCCTTGAAAGAAACCAGCCCTGCCGAAACCTCGATCTCAGAGTTCAGCCTCTAGACCGTGAGAAAATGTATCGCTGTTTAAGCTGCCCAGCACGTGGGGTTTTGTCGCAGGGCCCTGGGGGACGAATACAGGTGGCAGACGGTGAGTGCCTTGGACCCAAGGGCCGCAGATCAGCCTCTTCCCCAGCTCAGAGCCTCACACAGGGTGCGTGCTGACTGCATGTGCTGGGTTGGGCCAGAAGGCTGGGCACTGCTTTCCATCCAGCTTGTCCCCTGCTGAGGAGGTGCAGCGGAGGGCGGTCTCATCTGGGGCGGTGGAGCCAGAGTTCCAGGCCACGGTGCGGTGGGGGCCGTGCACTCTGGTTTCTACCAGGCTGACCTTGGGAGTCAAGTCAAGTGAAGAATGACCTGTGACTGGCTTATTTGGGGTGTTCTCTGGCATGCCTCACATAATGCCTAGGACTTAATCGACACTCATTAAAGTTTTGTTAAAAGGATGACTGAATGATTGACTAAGACAGGACTGGGAGATAGAGCCAACTTATACTTCTTAAATCTATGATAACGTGTGTGTGTGTGTGTGCACGTGTGCGTGCGCCTATAGTGCTCTGAAGGCGACTGCTGATGGCAGTCACTCTGAGGGGGAGGCAGGGTGAGAGGCCCGACTCCCCTCTCCCAGCTCCTCCTGTCCTATCTGTTTGCCATAGTGAGTCTCTGCTGAGTCCCTCGGCAGCTGCTCAGGTGTGAGCAGTGAATGGACAGAGGCAAGGGGGGCGGTTGACCCACCACTCCTCCCTCCCCAAACTTCCCACACACGCTCAGCCCTCCCCAAATGCGGCGAGAGCATTCAGTGCGACGAGCAACCTCCCATGTCACGAGCGGCTCCACAGCACCCAGAGGGAGCACAGGGTGACGGCGTAGAGCCCCAGCACCACCAGGTAGCCTCGGAAGAGCAGGCGGTCGAAGCGCTCCAGGAGGGCCAGCCACCCCACCTCTCGTCGGTGGGCCTGGTCTCGGGTTTGGAAGTAGCTGCTGATGGATCTGAGCTGGGGCCAGGCTTCCTCCAGGGTCCCCGATGGGTCCTGGTGCTCCTGAGAGAGGTGGGACTCTGTGTGGGAGAAGAACACATTGCACGTGAGCCGGAGCTACCCACGGCATTGGTGGCCTCATCCTGCAAGGAAGCTGCGGACAAAACTGGGCAGCGGGCTGGGCACGGGCTGCCCGCCTGCTGAGGGGAGGCACCGCCGTGCCGAGGGAGCCCTGGAGGGCAGAGCGGAGCTGGGGGAAGATGGGTCTGGGAGAGTTTCTGAGCCAGGGTCCAGCCCACACTGACTTGGTTAGGGGCTACATGATTCTTTCTTTAAAAAAATTGAGACATAATTGATATATAACATTACCTACTTTCAGGGGTGCAGTGTAATAATTAGATGATCACCACGCATAGTCCCACTTTTATTTTGTGATGAGATACACTGTGGGATACACTCCCTTAGCCGCTTCTGGGCATTGTAATCACAGGGAACACTCCACAAGTCCGCGTGTCACCCTTGCACGGGGCTGTGCTAGCCTCGCTGCTGTTGCACAGTCAGCATTCATGCTGCCTGTGTGAGTGCTGGGAGGACTTACATGCTGTTCCCCTCAGCGACCGGAACCCAGATGCATGCAGACCGCGTGAGGGCACGCACCAGCACTCTTCCAGAGCCAGGGGCTCCTTCACTTTAGGGAACTGGTTGAAACCAGAGATAAAACAAACTAAGGTAGATGAGGGCCTGGCCTCCGAGTTAAAATGAGGCTTTCGGGAAAGCCAGCAGAAGGCGGCCATCAGCCTCCAGAGATGAAATCTAAAATGCAGCACAGAGGTGAGGAAGCAGATGCTTCCAGTTTCTACACTGCCACACACATGGCCTGGTGCCCCCCCAAAGGGCGCTGGTGCTCAGCAGGATGGGGAAGGGACCTCAGGGCTGCTCACAAACCTGTTACCCCAGTGAGCTGGGCCCCGGGACCCATCCTGGGCCTGTCAGAATCGGGGTGCCCTCGAAGACACCAGAGGGCCCACTCCTGCCCGCTGCCCTGCCCATCGTGGAGGAATCTGACCAACAGGATGGTTTCCGACAGGCTGAGAACCAAGAAGGCCATGCAGACTGCGAAGAAGACGCCTGAGGAAAGAAGCGGAGCAGGTGGAGTTAGTGGGTCTGTGGGGACTCTCCTGCCCCTGACCTGAAATGCAGCATCAGACCTTTGACAGCAATGATGCATGAGGGACGCCTGGTGCCCCGCGGCTGCTCACCGATCAGAGGGGTGTGCACTGAGCTCCTCGGCATCTTGGCAGACACGTTGACCCTGAACACGGTGTAGCCCACCAGCACGCTGGTCTTGAACACAATCCTGGCGCGGCAGGTGGGTGGCAGGAAGAAGCTCCCCAAGTCCACGAGCATCAGGAAGACGCTGGGGATCAGCAGGCTCACGACATAGTCCAGTGGGCGCCGGCGAATCACCACCTGGCCGGGCACAAGGAATCGGTTTGGAAAGAGGGTTTAAGCTGGTGATTAATGTTCAGCCAAACCCACAGCCAAGAACACTGCCCGAAGTTCCACCGTTTTTGCATCATGTGAAAAGCCTCTGCAGTTTGGAAATAAAAGATTATTTTGTGGTTCAGAAAAGAAAAAAATCCTTTAATTTTATTCTTTAATTATTAATACTAATAATTTAATATTGATCAGCTAATATTAATATTTATAACTAGAAGCAGCTGCAGCTACCATCAGTTCACCGCTTGCCGTGTGCCTGGCGCTGGACTGTGCTTCATACGCTTTGCTCGGTCCTCGCACCTGACGGCTGGATATTAGCTCCATCTCACAAGGAAACCAAGGTTCATACAGATTAAACTGCATTTCCAAACTCACATGACCAGTGAATGAGAAACGGTTTTAAAACCAGGTCAGACACCAAAATCTTCCTTCTGACACCGCTTACTTTGCAATGCACTGTATCGTTTTGCATGAGATGTGATTTTTTTAATCCTTGCCGTGAGCTTGTGGGCAGTAGTGTCCCCACTTCATAGATTTTTAAACATAAAGCTCAGCTCCTCCAGTAAGTTGAGGGAAGGGCAGGGTTGGGGTGTGCCCCCTCGTCTGCCCCAAGCCCCGTATCCTCTTCCACACGGCGTGGCTGCAACCCTTGATCTGAACGGCCCTCTGAGCTGAGTTCCGGGCTCTTCGTCCTCTCCTCTGCCTCCTCCAGAAGAGAGTCACAGAAATGAGCAGAGGTGGAGGCCAGGGGTGGAGCAGACGGTGGTGGGAGGGGCCTTCTGGGTGAGGCAGGGCCTCACCTTGCCAAAGAGAGCAGGGGCTCCCGACCCTTGGGTCTGAGAGTATACCCCAACTCCAATGCCGTGGGGCCTGGGGGCCAGAGCCACCTGCGGGATTGCAGTCTGGCTGTCATCTTTCACATTAAACATCACCGGCTGCAGGTAGCTAAGCCAGCGCGACACTCACGCTTTACACTGATCTGGTTGACACACACTTCCACCCAAGTGCGGTCGGCGAGAAAACCACCACCAGAGAGAGCTGGCATCAGCCTGCACCTGCCCGGCTCCGTGCATCACGCTGTGACCCAGACGGCTGGGGAGGGGAGGCAGTGAGAGGGGAGCCAAGGGGTCAGACCCCAGGGCCTGTGCTGTGGGCCAGCCTGGGCTCTGGGTGACCCAGCCCTGTGGGGTGGCAGGGCTGCCCAGCCTGCTGTCTCTGGAGGGTCCAGATGGAAAGGCCCCCCTAGAGACCTCATGGCAGATGCTACTGAAGAGGATGGGATACCGTCCAGTGACGAATACCATCCCAGGGCACAAGCACAAGCAGGCGTGTTGGTTGAATGGAAAGAGCCCAGACTCAGAGTTGGAGTGACAGAGTCCCAGAGCCGAGCCCTCAGTCCCAAGACCCTGGTGTAGGTGATCCCAGGTGTGGGATTTAACCCTGTCATGCCTTGATCTTCCCTTTCTGAAAAAGCAGTTTACTTCTGCTTTGCCAAACACCTTGGGTACAATTGAGATTAGCTGTTGTACTCATTAAATAAGGCTCTGTGTGCACAGCACGTGCTGAGACTGTTGCTCCCTACCCAGAAGCTGATGCGGAGTGGGTGTAAATCGGGCCCAGAACCAAAGGTGGGCAGTGTGGCTCCTCAGTTTTAACACGTGCACGTTCCCCTGGCTGCCAGGGGAGAGGGGCACCAGAGCCGAGAGTCTGGGAGGCATGCAGGCTTCCTGGGCATGGGGCCAGGCTGCACAGAGCCCTGCACAAGGAAGGGCCCCACACAGGCTCCAGTGTCCTGCCGGTGTCACTTAAAAGTTCTTCATTATTTTTGGACAAGGAGCCATGCATTTCCACTTTGCACTGGGCCCTACGAGTTCCATAGTGGTGCGAGGGCAGACAGCGCCCCCCGAGACAGAAAGCCGAGGTCGCCCCTGCCTGTGCTTGGCTCACAGAATCCCACGGTGAGCTGCGCGCTCCCAGACCGTCTCGTCCTTTCTCTAGCCTTCAGCCAGGATGTTCCCATTCCTAAGACTGAATAGGAAATACAGTTTTGGTTTTCATCAAGAGCAAACAGCCCGCCTTCTTCTTAGGTTGATTTAGGGGCAGTATTACCCACAGACTATACCAATTTTCTTCACAAGCCCAGCGCAGCCTAAAGAAACTCCAGTTTCATCACCCAGTTTTGTTCCCACTGTCTCATTTGATCCTCAGAGCCCTTTATTCCTCTGTTCTGGAGATGCTGAGCATGAATAGGGTGTCAGGTACCCTGAATACTGGAGGTAGAACCATTCCTAAGATGGGCCCAGCCCTTGCCCCCCACCCCACCCCATCTAATGGGATCAGGAACCAGACTCATGGGTCTGCAGATGGAGGGAGAGAGAGAGTTTGCCCCAAAATGGACCATACCCAGAGTCTATACCTGATTTAGCTGATGAGATTCGGGGCTTTTTGAGTTTGTAATTGATGATATTTTGGTCTTAGCATTGGCATTGGAATGGGTTAAGACATTCGGGGATGCTGGAACAGGGACAATGTATTTTGCACATGGGACGGATGTGAACTTTTTGGGGGCCATAGGACAGTGGACTCTACTAGGCTGAATAATGGCTCCAAGAATTCATGTCCTTCCTAGAAGCCCAGAACGTGACCTTTTTTGGAAACAGGATCATTGCAGGTACACTTAGTTAAGATGAGGTCCTACTGTGGCAGGTGGGCCCGTAGCCCAATGTGACCAGGGGAGACACACAGAGGAGAAAGCAGCGTGGAGATGCAGGCAGAGGTTGGAGCAACACATGTACGAGCCAAGAGATGCCCAAGACCAGGCGCTAGGAGAGGGCATGAAATGGACCCCTGTCAGAGCCCCCAGGAGACCAAGAGCTGCCGACTCCCGGCTTTCGGAAGAACTGGCGTCTGTTGTCTGAAGCCCCCCAGGTTGTGGGACTTTGTCATGGCGGCCCCTGGGGGCTTAGACCGATTTCCCAGTACCACACAGTGGGTAGATGCCAAAGACCAGACCGGAATCTGCTTGCTATGTTTAGTTGCGTCTCAGCATCAGAGATGATTAGCACACCGATTGGGGAGTCAGATTGCCTGGGTTCAAGTCCCGGCTCCACCTGTCGCCTTGTTACCTTGGCTGAGTCACGTAGCTTCTCTGCATCCCAGATTATCCATTTTCAACAATGCCCGTACTTGGAGCACCCGCCGTATGGAGACAGGAGATTCCATACACACACTTCTAAATGCCGAGGTCCATGGCTATTGCTGTTGTGTCTCCCAGAGCAGGTTTTGAGGCCCATGACAGACGCCGGGGCTGTGCTCCGCTCATGTTTGTGTCTTCAGAGCTTGCCACTGAGCCTGGCATGTGACAAACGCTTTAAAGATTTTCACTGAGTTGTACTGGCATCTGTCAATAATGGTACTTTGAGTCCCAGTGGGGTGGGGTGTGGACTTGGCCCAAGAGGGGCTCTCTGTTGAGGTCCGCGCTCAGAGCACCACCCCTCTGCAGTGAGGCCTTCCTATGCGGGGGGAAGGCAGGCAAGACACCAGCTCAGGGGGATGCCACTCTCTGCGGCACTGTCCCTACCTGGAGCCCATCGTACCTAATGGACTAAAGGAGCTGGTGCCTTTAAATTCCACCGAAAGGAAAGCAAAAGCACTTTAGTTTCAGCCCGTGTTCTCCATTAGACACCCTTCAGGTGTTAGCAATATTATGCCACAATTTCATTATCCATTAAAGCCAGGTAATAATAAGTACACAAAGGTATTTGGAGCCTATTGATGTTAATGAAAGAGATCAATCTAATTCAGAATGTGTGTGTGGAGAGCTCCTTGGAGATGGGATGGGCCCCAAGGTCAGCCTCTCATCGCCTCCTTGACGGTAGACCCCACCAGTACTCAATTTTGCATGACTGTCTTTATGACGTAGTTGGAATTTTGACGCCCAGACTCACGCTTCCTACAGAGGCCCATTCTCCTCCTCTCCCAAGCCCCTCCCAACATTCCCGACTCAGAAAGAATGGGGAAGTTGCTGCCATTTAAGATCCTTGCACAAGAGGAGAGTTTCTTGGGTGTAGACAATGGGCTGCACTAGAGCAGCACAAGTCCATGATCCCAGGGTTGCTGGAGGGACCCTGATAAGATTTCCAGGGCTCTAAATTAATCTCTCTCTTTCTCTCTGGGGCTCAGAGGGATCTTCTACCAAGTTTATGGGCTGCATTCAATGGCTATCTCAACAAAATTACTCTACATGAAGCTAGAAAGGGAAAAATAATGTCAGAGAAAGAGGACAAATGAGTCATCTTTCTGTCCCTGATGCCCTCTGCAATTTTCTGGGAGTCCCCTTATGGGTCTCTAACTCCTGCCCTGAAGATGGTTTTACTCATGTGAAGATGTCTGTGGGTGGCGCACTTTGATCTCCACAGCCGTCCACCCTTGTCCATCCAGCATGAGTTCTCAAATTTTATTCCTACCTCCTCCCACTTCTACCGGTATTCTTCAAAAAAGCCCCCAGAAACAAAACACCGCCTACAGAAACAAGTATCACCCTACCGTTTCTGGGATCCAGCACCCTGACAAGGTGCTGGAGGAAACCTCCCCTCCCACGGCTGCTGGGTGGGGCGCCAGGCTGCACACACACACACACACACATCCTTGTAGGTGGACGTGCCTGTGCCCTGGGCCCCTGTGGGATGCAGCCCAACTCCGGAGTCTCGGCAGGCGCCCTCTGACAAACGGTACGTGTCCCAGCTCTGGCCAGGATGACTGCACATTGGCAGGAACTAACGGGGCACCTGCGGCAACAGGGCACATCAGGCCCAGGGTGCGGACATATATAGAATAGATCGCTGTCCCTCCTATCTGTCCCGCCTGTCTCCAGCCCCTGCTGGGCAGCCTGAACTGGGCCACAGTTGGTGATCGGATTAAGGGGGAGCTGGCACTTCGCCATCAGGACCTCGGCAGGTCCAGGGCTGGCATGGAACTGGGCTCTGATTTTTGCATCATTGGCCAAGGGCTGTAGAAGGACCTGTGGGTGGCCTCAGTTACTAAACTCGGGGTAGGATGTCTGTGTGGAGTAACAGGACTTGAGTCCAGCCACAGTGCTCATAGCAGCAGGGGACGCCTGGAGGCTGGGAGAGGACGAGGAGACAGAGCAGGGATGGTCGCTGAGTCCGCTGTGTCCTTCTGACCGTGCAGTGCCCCTGGGGCTGGCTCCCTGCCCTACCGAATATGAGCTGGGACCCCACCAGGATTCTTCCCCTGCTCTGTTCTGGAGGGCCGGGGGGGAGGCCGGCCCTGCTACATCGCCCAGCTTTGCCACCCCTGCGCCAATCTCCAGTGGAGCCATACGGTGCCCACCGCCAGCACCTCGGCATGCGCACGGTGCCCAGAGCAGAGGGGCCGCGGTCCGCAGATCCATGGGTGCCTCTTCCCTTACCTTTCATCATACTTAAAATGCACCCAGTACACAGAAACCTTTCACCACCGTTGAGAGGACAAATTAGTATTTTGGACGGAGGGTGACACGTAAGTGCAAACAGTGGGGGCCTGTGGGGAGCGTGCACTTGCACGCCCGCTGCCCACCGTACCTCCTGCCTTTGTGTGCCTCTCCCGCGCAGTGTGGGTAATGGTGTGTGCAGTGTTCTCCGCAGTGCTTGGTAGGTGACGATGTTCCACCCTCACATTTCCCTTTAATGCTCTCCATTATTTGGCTGCATTAAAAATGTTTGCGGGCTGATATCTTTAAAATTAATGAGGTGTTTACTCTTAGCCAAGAAACTCATTGAAATTAAAAAAGCTTTCTTTTCCCTCCCTTTACCTCACTAAAAACAAAGTGGACAAACAAGTCACAATACAAGCCTCGCTAAAAACAAGTAGAACAGTCAAGAGCCGCAGCCCGCCGCCCGGGAGGCGGGAGCTGCAGTTAGCCAGCACCCAGCATGGCACATCGGTCGGGCTCAACCCGCCTCTGTAAGAGGCCCCGGTTTAACAAGGGCTTTGCTGGAAAATTGCAGGCAGCACCATTTAGCCAGTGGAGGGGCATCTGTGCCCTCCAAAATAGCTTATTTCACCACCACCACCCTTCTTAGCATATTATCCATTGTGACCACAGCACCTTAATCTAGTTTAAATTTTCCTTCATTTTCAAAAGGTTTGTTTCCCAGGAGAATTCATCTCGTGTGCAATCCTGACCTGTCTGTAGTCGTTATTTTTCAATCAGATCCATTACCTGGCATGAAGGACCCCTCTGCTCAGTACTCCCACCCCATGACCCCCAACACTAGCTGACTTTGTGCAGAAAAGCAGAGCTGAGTGTTTATGATGTGAGTCCACTGGCTGCATGAACTTGCTGTAGACCATGAGTGAGGACAGCCTGCTGGGAGGCCAGGGAAGGAAGACTCCTGAGTGCAAAGAGCAGGCTCACAGCCCTGACCCCCACCCCGCGCCCCTGCTGTGAGCAGGGCACATACCCTGGGGCAGGTGGGTTCTCCTCGTGCCCTATTAGAGCAGCTCTTCTCTCTGACCTGGAAACCACCAGTGGTCTCCATGCACCTTGCAGGTGACTTGTTAGCTAATCCCTCAGATATTCAAGTTAGTTGGACGATGATTGTATGCATCTGCATCTAGAAATAATTGATGATTTGCTCAGTCACAAAGAGGACAGTGATGCTGAAGTGACACTCCCCTCCCACTCTGTTGTTGTGTATGGGATTCCTTCTTTCCCTCAGGAGCACTGGCAAAGGAGGACACAGGGATGCCCTGAAAGGCTCAGGGTTTCCTGCTGCTGCCAGACTGTGGCCTCTGAAACCCGTTTTCTTTATAGTCACACGTGGGGTATCTACAGCAGGAGCCCAGGATCTGTGGCTGAGCCTCTTGTCTCTGAAACACCCGAATGCAAGTAGATGTCAGATCCCTCCGAATCACCTGCTTCTGGATGGTAATGACGAGCATACACAAAAAAGCAGATTCCTCAGCCCAAGAGAGAAGGCCGAGGACTGCAGAGAAGCAGGCAACAGGGACAGCAAGGGGCACAACCTACATTATACTGAATCTGTGCAAAATCTCCAGCGTTGGTCTGCAGAATGTCATAGGCTGAGGACACAGAAAGAAGTTCCCACTCACTGTCATTCAAAAATGCCTTTTTGTCATGCTTAATGTCTTCTCTGCTCCTCAGGAAGGCCAGGTCTACATCTTCCACTGAAAACGACAGAAGCGATTGAGTTCCCTACAGAGCGAGGCACCAGTGTCAACCAGTCCCAGCCCCCCAGCTCCCAGTTCAAGTCCTGCCTCTCCCTGCTGTCTCCAATGCAGTCTTACTGACATGGGGTTCGATATGACCATTTCGAACCAGGAGCAGGGGAGTGGAATAAAATCTTTCTAGCCGTAAAAAAAACCAACTCTGAGTTTAGGGTTTGCACCCCACTGTCCGTGGGAGGGTGGGGCTGGCCCTGACTTTGATGACATTCTCAGTGGTGTGGAGGCCTCGTACTGTATTCCCACACCAAGAGCAGCAATAGGAAGGTCAATCCTGTGCAAGAATAAAGCAGACACGGAGGACAGCAGAACGTGACTTCACCTGTGTGCCAAACCCAGCTCAAGCACATTTTCCCATGAGCCAACTGTACCTCTCATGGTTTACCTGTGTGCAGAATGCTCCTGAAGGTGAGGCTGCAGTTCTGGATATCAAATGGAAAGGTGTATGTCTCTAAACTGCATGCGGAGACCACCTGGATGGGCTTAGAGTTCTTAATGGTCCCAGATGAATTCACATAAACATAGGGAAGGTCGGGTGACCTTTCACTGTCCACACTGCACGAAACACAAGAGACCTGGCTGTTGTTGGGAGGGCGTCAGTCATTTCACCACATAAACAGAACCGAGTATGAGCTGGAAGTGACCATGACACCCTGGGAGGGCCAAAGACAGAATCCCATGTCCCATGAGACAGCTCATCCTGGCAAAGATGGCTCAGCAGCGACAGTCTCGTAAGTTAACTCACTTGCGCTGTCATGACACAGACATGATCTAAGAGTGACCTCAAGCATTAGTAATAAAATCTGTATTTCAAATGACATCAAATCACAGCACTTCTAACCTGAATATTCCTAACAATAGGCTCCTTTTTAAGTTGAGAGACAAAAAAAAAAAAAAATAGCAATAATGACTGAAAGTAAGTAGCAACTGGCCCGACTATCCTGAGCAGACTGAATCCCCCAGAAACACAGCCCAGCATACTTACAACTCATTAATGATGATATCAGGAGCCCAGATGGCACTTAGAGGTAGGGAGATCTCTCTAATCTCATCAAACATGCTGGGGTTCCAGGACAAGAACCCATCATCCCAAACCTGCCAGCGGAAGCCGAAAAGGAAACTTATCAAAAAGGGGCTAAGTCACCAAAGAACTGGAGAGGGATTTGGATGACTGACTCAATTGATCAGCCTGCCAGAACTATCTGACAGGGGAGAGGACTTCCCATCCAACTCCTGAAGATGGTGCTCCAACCAGAAACCATGTCCATGCATATTACATGGGTTCTAATACATTGGATCTGCTGCAGATCTAAGGAATCACAAACACAAAGATGATATCTAGCCTTAAAATGATTATGCTTTGCAACAGATGGAGGTCAGGAAGGGCCCACGTGCATGGAAGGAGACGTGGTCACTCACCTCATGGTACCATACACTTGTCTTCAATTTTTGATTCTGTACATCCTGTAAAGCAAAAAGAAAACCCACACCAAACCTTAGAATGCCAGGAAATCAAAGCCCAATCCATCAGCATGACAATTCAGAGGAAGAAAATCGAATCTAATGAAATGATGCTGATTTTAAAAACATTACCTTGACTCTTCAAAATCTGAGTATTCTCAGTTCCTATTTACCACGCGCACCTGTCGCTACGAACTTTACTCTATTACCCACGACAAAATGGCATTTTGACTGCACTTGACATCTTGAATAATTTGCTAATTTCTTTCCCACTTTAATTAGTTACTCTGCCATTAATCAGACTAAAAAATGATATGTAGTCTTAGTCAATTCTGGGATTAAAAGATGAGACCAAGCTTTTAATTGTAATCAGGATATTATTCATAAGCTTTCTGGGAGGGTTATCTCAACCACTATTGGCAGCCATTTCTATTAAGTCATCTTATGTTTGGATTTCTCTGCTTATTAAACAGACTGAATGAGCCTAATGTAAATGAGGCATATTTTTGATGATTAAATAGATGCAATTTCTCATGCTTGCAATGAGTCAGTGACTTTTTAAAAAATACTGCCCAAAACAACAAAAAACCTCTTTACTAATTTTTTTTGTAACTGATCCAATCAATAAGAACATTCTAAAATTGTGTCGTTCTTAGGGATTAAAAGAAAAGGAATATCTCTCACCACATACAAACATTAACTCAAAACGGATCACTAACCCAAACATAAGAACTAAAACCATAAAACTCTTAGAAGAAAACATAGGAGTCAACCTTCATGACAGGTTAGGCAGTGGTTTCTTAGCTATGATGCCACAAACACAAGCAACAAAATAAATGGGACTTCGTCAAAATTTAAAACTCTTGTTCTTTAAAGGACACCATCAAGAAAGAAAAAGACAACCTACAGACTGGGAAAAACTATTTGCAAATCATGTATCTGGTAAATCATGTATCAGAATATATAAAGAACTCTTAAAACTGAACAATAAAAGGATAAACAACCCAGTTAAAAAGTGGGCATCAGCAGACATAATCAACAGAGTGAAAAGGAAACACACAGAATGGGAGAAAATATTTGCCCAACATGTATCTGACAAGGGGTTAATATCCAGAATATATAAAGAACTCCTACAACTCAAAACAAAACAAGGAAACAACCCTATTTAAAAATGGACAAAGGATTTGACCTGATATTTCTCCAGAGTAGATACATAAATGGCTAACAAATACATGGAAAGATACCCCACATCACTGCTGTGGACCAAACTGTGTCCATCCAAAATTCATATGTGACCATATTTGGAGGTAGGACTTTTAGGAGGCAATTAAGGTTAAAAGAGGCCACAGGGGTGGGGCCCTCATCCAATAGAACTGATGGCCTTAGAAGAAGAGGAACCTCTCTCCTCTGTGTGAGCCAACAGTGAGGAGGTCTGCAAGCCGGGAGGAGGGCCCCCAGCAGGAACCTGCAAGGCAGGAGCAGAACTTGGATCTGGGACTTCAAGCCTCCAGAACTGTGAGAAACAAAGTTCTGTCGTTTAAGCCACGCAGTCTATGGTATTTGTTATGACAGTCCAAGCTGGCTAATATTATCACCAATCATCAGGGAAACGCAAATCAAAACCACAATGAAATACCACTTCCCTCTCATTAGGATGGCTATTGTTCTTTTAAAAAACAGAAAATAAGTACTGGTGGGGATGTGAAGAAATTGGAATCCTTGTGCATTATGGGTGGGAATATAAAATGGTGCAGCTGCTATGAAAAAGTGTGGCAGTTCCTTAAAAAATTAAAAATAGAACTACCATATGGTCCAGCAACTCCACTCCTTGGTATGTACCCAAAATAATTGAAAGCAGGGACTCAGACAGATATTTGTACAACCATGCTCATAACAGCATTATTTACAACAGCCAAGGTAATAGATAAGCAAAATGTGGTATATACATACAAAGTAATATTATTCAGCCTCAGAAAGGAAGGAAATTCTGACATACGCTATAACATGAATGAATGTTGAGGACATTATGCAAAGTGAAGGAAGCCAGACACAAAAGGCATATACTGTATGATTCCACTTAATATGAAGTAGATAGAGTAGTCAAATTCATAGGGACAGGAAGTCGAATGGTGGTTGTCAGGAGCTGGGAGCAAGGGGAAGGGGCAGGAATCGTTTAGTAGTACAGAATTTCAGTTTTGCAAAATGAAAAGAGCTCTGGAGATGGATGGTGGTGATGGCCGCTCAGCAATGATTGTGCACTTAATGCCCTTGAACCAAAACTTAAAAATGGCCAGGATGTCAGATTTTAGTCATATGTATCCTACCACAAGTAAAAGTAATAATTAAAAATTGAGCAAAGGACTTGAATAGATGTTTCTCCAAAGAAGATATACAAATGGCCAAAAAGCACATGAAAAGAGGCCCACGGCTTTAGTTACTAGGGAAATGCAGATCAAGACCATGAAGACACGTCACCCACTAGGACGGCTACAATAAAAAAGATGGAAAATAACAAGTGTTGGCAAGGATGTAGAGAAATTAGAACTCTCATATATTGCTAGTAGGATTACAAAATGGTGCAGCCACTTTGGGAAACAGTCTGACAATTCCTCAAAATGTCAGAGTTACCTTATGACCCAGCAATTCCACTCTTAAGTAAGTAACAAAGAAACTTGAAAATATAAGTCTACACAAGAGAACCTGTACAGGAAGGTTCATAGCAGCACTTATAACACAATAGTCAAAATGTGAAAACAACTATGTCCATCAGCTGATGAACAGATAAATAAAATGTGGTTTATCCTTAGAGGAGAGTGTTTTTCAGTAATAAAAAGTAATGAGATATGATGCATGTTACAACATGAATGAACCTTGGTGGTATTGTGCTACTGAAAGAATCCAGTTACAAGAGGCCATTTATTGTATGAATCCATTTATATGGAATATCTAGAATAGGAAACCTTTAGAAATAGGAAGATTATTGTTTGCCTGCGGCTGGTGGGGCAAGGGTAGAGGGGGTGGCTAATGGTGTGGGCTTCACTTTGTTCTGAAATTAATGGTGGTCTGCACAAGAAAACCTGTAGAGTGGCACAACTCTCTGAATATGCTAAAACCACTGGATTGTAAACTTCAAATGGATTAATTTTGTGGTTGAAATACATATTAATAAAGCTGCCCTTTAAAAAAAATAGGTATTTTTAATAAAGGAAAAGGGAAGCATTTTTGAAGATATTTCTGGGGTATTTATAAGAAGTCTGATACCAACCATTGATGAGATCTCCTTTACCTCATTTCCATTCTTTTCCATGTATAATTGATCACTAAAACCTGCATCCTTTGAAGAAAATGAGAGGACTAGAAAATCCAAGGTGAAAACGTGTGAAGTAAAATGTGTAAAACATTTCCCTGATGATTGAGGGTCAAAGCTAAGGGGTCATTTAAATAACCTTTGTATTTCTGTAATATTTATTACAATACCACATTTTAGTAAAATAAGAGAGTTTGGGGAGTTGATGGCATGAAAGCAAATAACAACTCTGTTTTCCTCCCCAGAACAGGGTATATTAAATTAATCATCCAGCCAACTACTCAAGCACACCAAAAAATAGTCATTGTGCCTGGGGCAAGACTACCATTTTTTTCAACCCTGGTGGGGGGTGGTAGGGAGGCACCATTGGAAAGTAGTCCATGGGGCGCCTGGTGCATCTGGAATTGTACCAGCCTCAGACTATACAGGTATACACAGGGTGGCATTAGTTGAAAGAGAAACAATAAAATTTTTTAAGTCCCCACTTTTTGCCACCAAGAAAGAAAGTTGCTACTGAAAAAGCATTTCTAGGTATGTTGGGAAAGAAGACGGGATTGTGCACAGATATGGGTGACCCCCTCTAGTGGTCTGACAAAGGCGGATCTCAGGGAATTTGTTCTACAGATTTTTTAGGAGCTTCAAATAGATACTGGGAAAGGCATGTTTTAAAGTGACATACAAGGTGAAAATGCTGAACCCAAAGCATTTCCCCAAGGGGCCACGTGGGGGAGGACAGAGGGGAACCCACCCGAGACGGCTCTGCAGGGGTCCTGGCAGTTGTGAAAGGACTTCTCTTGAGAGCTCAGGGTTAGGTGGCAACACTTCCTTCTGAGTTTTATCAGCTGGGAGATGCTGAAATAGATCACGTCTCACCCACTAAAGCAGAAAAGGCTCAGTTCTAGGCTTAGTCGCAATCAGTGAGGGTTCCCCACAAACAGGGGGAAAAAACAAGCCCCAGATGCAATCTGCATTAGTGGTAAATAGAGCTGTTCACCACTCCTTCCCAACACATGCACATTCACATCCATGCAGTGCCCTGGCCAGTTTTTTTTATCACGGTCACGCCAAGTCATGAACGCGCGCTGTTGACTCAGTCACGTGACTGGGGAGAGGGTCGCTGTGCTGTCCGTTCATTTCACGGCTATTTTTAGTCCATCGGTTCTGACTAACTGCCATACTGATGCGTAGCCTGCTCTTCTCTTTTGCCCATTGCTTTATCGTACCACATGTCACAGAAGAGTTAAGAATCTTTTTCTAATATATTAGGGGGGTGGCTGGGCGGATTCATCATGCAGCCCTAAAAACACAATGTCAGAAAGGAGTTTGAGGCTAAAACTGAAATCTTTTTTTGTCAAAGGGAACAAGTTTCTCAATGCCAGCTGGTGAACATAATTGGTTCTCTGGTGGCATTATTCACAGCTTTTCCCTCTGTGTATCTCTCTCTCTTTTTTCTTTAGATACCTTCCATCTTGCTTGTTAAAAGCAAAGGATATTTCAGAGAATTGGAATTCATTAGTCTTCCTAACAGAGGGAGTCTATTTAGATCTAAATTGGTGGTTAGCAAATACACAGATAATTCCTGCACATTCGTATTTATCTTTCCCAGTTCCGAAGACTATAGAAACAGATGCCTCAACGTCTGGCTGGGAGGCTCTAGTCAATGGACTGGAATACAAAGGTATCTGGGATTCGGAAT